CATCTGTAAGTGGAGAGAGCTAGATCCTACCTTGTAATGACTAAAATAAGCACTTCGCATCACGTGTCATGTAGAGAAGTACTCAAAATATATGTGAGATTATGTTACATAAGACGGAGGTTACACAGAAAAAGTGTCTCCTCTTTGTCTCCACCAAACCATGAACCTTACTGACCATCCCAGATCAGCTACTAGGTGAGTGTTGAAAGGCTTTTGTAGGTCCCTTCCAGGTGTTGGGATGACAGAGAACGCGGCTTTTACCGTTTAGACGGTTTCTGGATCATCCACAGCCACCTGCTCCGGGGACCCCACCCCGTTTTCCGGGGAGGAGCTCGTTAAAGCGACCCTTTTTTGTGTGTTCATCTGGCTTTCACGGCTCCCCTCTTTCGTGCCCGTTCCCTCCGCTGTGGTGGCATGTGAATTTCTGCGTCTTGTCCAGCAGGCTGGGAGCTCCTTGAGGATGGGCACTGTGTCTCAGTCATCTGTGGATGCCAACCTGCCCACGGAGCGCCTGGCACAGAGCAGGTGCTCTGAAACTGGCGGACCGATCAGGTGCGCTGTCTCCATTCTGGAGATAAGAATACTCAAGTTTAGACAGGTCATGTAAACCTTTGTACGTGTTCTTTGTTGTGTCTGGAATGTGTGTCCCACCTGCTGTTCCCGGAAGGCTCCTACTCCTTCAAGGGCCAAAGCAAAGAACACCTCTGTGGGGCCTCGTCTGCCCCCTTCTGGCTGGCAGAGGTAGCACATCCCTCCGATTCCCTAGCGCTCTGAATGCTATCTCTACGGAGACGGTTTTCCTCTCCACCTGGCTATGAAGCCCTGGGTGGACAAGGTCTCCCTCCGATTCAATTCTATCTCCTTCGCGTGTAGACTGTGAATGCGCAGCCCAGGCTATGTTCTACCAGCTTAGGATGTAGGCCTGCCCCACATTATCTTTGTCGGTCAGCATATGCCAGTGGATGGAAACCCATCTCAAGATGGATTAATCAGTAACACGGTTTATTGGTTCATTAATGAAAACTCCGGGCATAGATTGCAGATTCCTGTCGATCTCTCCTTGTGTTGTCTCTTGTCTTCCGGGTGTACTTTCCTCTTTCAAAAAGCTATTACTCCGTGGAGGTTCTCGGTGGCTTTGTGCCTGCAACTTCCCAGATTCCAGTCCAGCGGAAAGAGATGAGAACCTTCTCAAGTTCTGATAAGGTGCCCAGTTTCATTGGTTCTGGAAGGGTCACTTTTACAGGGCAAAGCCAATCACTTTGTCCGTAAGTCTGTGAAGCTCCAAATGGCTGGGAGCGGATCCCATGCTGGGAGGGAACTCAGTCTCCACGTGAACCATGCACTGAGGAGGGAGAGGTAGGTCCCCAGAAAAATATGGGCACTGCCACCAAGAACGGCAGATAGATGCTGACTGTTCTCAGTGAGCTTGCGATCTAGTGGGGAAATCTAGAGAAACAACTTTTTTAAGCAACTTTTTTTAACAGCAACTTTTTTAAGAGTTTTTATTTATTGAGAGAGAGAGAGAGAGAGAGAGAGAGACAGAGAGAGACAGAGAATCCCAAGCAGGCTTCCCACTGTCAGCACAGAACCTGATGCGGGGCTCGAACTCACAATCCATGAGATCATGACTTTAGCTGAAATCAAGAGTCAGACGCTCCACTAACTGAGCCACCCAGGTGCCCCGGAAAACAGCAATTTTAATTCAGTATGAAAACACTGTTGACGGAAATGCACGAGGGATAAGGGGGTACGCAGAGGGGGCAGCCGAGGGCCACAGGGGAGTGGAAGGAATCAAGGAGGGCTTCTTGAAGGAAGTGACAGTCGCGCTAAGCCAATCTAGATACTACGTGAGTGGCTACTGATGGGATGAACTAGTGCATACCTTGTACCAAATGACACAATTGGATCTTTGTAGAACTGGAATTTAAACCGGGCTCTGTTCACTATTCAAAGTCTAATGATTTTAGCAGTTTGTCAAGCTGGACTTGTTTCTGTGAGGCAATGTTTTCCAAATTCCACGTCAAATCAGAGTCGGCTAAGAATACAAACACACTTCAGAAGGATGGCTGAGCGTTCGGCTGAGCCCACAATAACTTATTTAATTCACAGTATACATGAAATACTGTACATTGGCAGTGACATCATTCACAACTGCTATATTTCACATTGCCAATCCTCAGTATTCCGCCCACATTACGGACTAAGTAGGCTTTGTTAGCTGACTCAATCTTCATTCATAGCATAAATAGCAAAAATAAACACATTCGCCGCACAAAGTCACTCCAAGTTTTAAACAACTGTGGCAAACTTGAGCTTTTGAAGCATTGGGCGGAAAATTAAGGTAAGGTCCGTTTATCCTTTTCCTTGGATCTTTATGTGATCATCCCTAAACCAACCCTGATTTCTTTCAGGTGATTGGAATAATAGCCGGGTTCGTGATCGGTTTAACGCCTACGATTGTAACGGCTGGAGGATTTGCTGTCATCGCCACCGTGGCTCTAGAACACCGAAATCCTTTGCTGATAGCAGAGTTTTGCGGGGACAAATAGTTCATAATACACGTTCTCTTTTCTGTCCTTTGGAGACTCCCAGCATGCAAAGTGGCCATTCTCTTTCCCTGCCCCATTTCAGGCAAAACATTATGTTCTGGCTAGACGTGGTTTATAAATCTTGCCTCTGGCGCCTCAGAGCTGTGTGACCTTGAACAAACTTCATCTTCCCTCAGTCTTGGTCTTCTCACGTGCAGAGTGAGGACGATGGTTCCTTCCTTACAGGTCGGTTGTGTTGATTCGATGAGCTGAGGTATGAAAGCTCTTTGTGAATGACAAGGCGCTGTCCAAGTTTTAGGCGTCATCCTCAGAATTAGACTTCTGACACTGGCCTACATTCTTCCAAGTGGTTCCCCAACATTACCGTAAAAGGCAAGCCCCCAAACTGTTTATGTCGTAGAATCTTTTTTTTTTTAATTTTTTAAAACATGTATTCATTTCTTGAGACACAGAGAGAGACAGTGGGAGCTGGGGAAGGACAGAGAGAGAGGGAGACACAGAATCCGAAGCAGGCTCCAGGCTCTGAGCTGTCAGCACAGAGCCCGAAGCGGGGCTCGAACTCACGGACCGTGAGATCATGACCTGAAACGAAGTTGGACGCTGAACCGACTGAGCCACCCAGGAGCCCCGTAGTAGAATCATTTTGTAATGACAGAAACAATGTATTATTTGCTGAAATTATCTAATGAGTAGACCTGTACGGCATTTGATAATTTTATCTTGTTACTTAGGGCAAATTGCTCGAGATGACATACATTTGAAAACCGCGTCGTTGTTTCGGTGTCTGTGGGGTCTTTTTGTCTGTTTTTTCTTATATAAAAAAGAAACTTCAGTACAATTTTGTTGTACCAAGATTATCAGCGATGGTTTCTAATTCATTTATTTTTACTTTTCCTCTTAGAAACCAGTTTGTGGAGAGACATCTTCTTTCAAGCATTTCTACTGGCCGCGTGCTTAATCATTTGTGCATGTGCAAGGTAATGCAGATTTTATTTGCACGCAGCAGTGTTTCATAATTAAGGAAGCTGTAACTGATTGATAATGTCCTTGCCTTATTCCACAATGCATGTTCGGTAGCTCTGTGGTTAAGATCTGTTCATTTGCCCGTGCCCCTTCAGTGCCCCTTTTGCGATCACGTCCCTCCTCTCATCATCTCACAAAGCATACGAAAGCCAGTGGATCTTGCTAGAAATTGGAATTTATTATGTATCATCCTTCGTTTAAATCCTCAGTGACTCCCTATTACGGATACAAACTAAGTAATCCCGCGTGGAGTTCAAGGGCACTTGGAGTCCCCACTGGGACTCCATCTTTCTCATTATGTTTTTATACCTTAACATAAAGTGTCTGTTCCTGGGAAGTCCACTCAGCACCTCAGATCACATGATGCTCTTGCCTGATTATAGGCATGTTTCTGTCCTACCCTCGGTCCACCATACCCCTCCTATTCTTTTCTTGCCCAAGTCTACAGGGCAATGGTCATATCCCTCCTGTGCTAAGTGCACTTGTGCCTCAGGGCCTTTGCACTTGCTGTTTATTCCGCCTAGTGCGATCTTCTCTAAAAAGCTTCTTAACACGTGTCCCTTACTTCTTTCTGGAATCTGTTCAACGGTCACATCATCAGCGAGATCTTCCATGACAACACCGTATAAATAGCTTGCCACTCTCTACACACACACACCTCACTTTACTTGTCTTTACTTATCACTTACCACCTGACCTGTTATATGTTCAGCTGTTTAAATGTCAATGATCAATCTCTTTCCACAAGAATGTGAACCACCTGAGAGCATCTCCTTCACTTCTGTATCCCCAGTGCCAGGGGCTCATCGATATTGTTCAATCAGTGAAACAGGGATAAGTGGTCCAGACCTGGGGTCTTTGTGGTGCTTGTGCTCCGGTCAGCAAATGCTGCTTGCTGTCACACCCCGCCTCCTGAGGGTCGGATACCTCACATCACTTGGGAGAGTTGTGTTTTTAAATACCAGGTCCTGAATCCCAACCCTTGTGATACGAGTTTAGATCTAGTGAGAATCTGTATTCTAAAATAAGCGTCCCAAATAATGATGAGGTTTAAGAAGTATTAAGGCTTTTTGGATCACAATGGGACCAAAAGAACGAAACGTGGGGGAGGTCGTGCGCTAAAAATAAATTTGCAAAAGTCTGCATTGTATATCCCAGGTCAGAGGACCATTTGTGCACCAGCATCATAAAGGCCCGGTGAAATAACGTCATGAAGAAACATGATTGGCTTTATTGAACTTAGCGTTTCCCAACCATCATGGATCATGGGACCTTTTATGTGATTTCACAGAACTGTCAGTGAAATGTTCCTCTTCGGTTAATTCCTGTAGATGCTCCCCATCCCCCTGCCGTGCCCCCACCTCTTAAGAAGGAAACTGGACAACCTGTCCCTTGAGCCTGAGCTGCATTTAGAAACTTGCTTCCAAGAAACAGAACCTGGAAAGAGGGGGAAAGGAAACTTCAGAAGCCGGGCAAATGTGACCTCAGGTGGTCAAGGTTAACATCAACAGGGCTAAGTTACGTGGATAGCATGTACCTTTGATGCGAGGTGATGAGAGTGGCACTTCTCCCCTGTGGCCTTCTGGACCCCAGTCTAACCAGAGGAAAACTCAGGTCGAGGGACCTTCTACACGTTATCTGGACAGGACTCCTCAAACCTGTCAAGGTCATCAAAACCAAGGAGAGTCTGAGAAATTGTCATAGCCCAGAGGAACCCAAGGAGCCATGACTAAATGTCTGAGGCATCCCGGATGCCGTCATGGAACACGGGCAAATTAGGGAAAACCGTAAGTTACAAATGGCACATGGTGTTATTAGCGAGGCAGCAATGTTGGCTCGTCACTTCCAACAATGTGCCATAGAAGCGTTAAGATGCTGGTAATCGGGAAAGTTGCTGAAAGGTGTATGAGAACCCTCTGTACTGTGTCTGTAACTTCCCTGTGTATCTAAAGTTGTTTGAAAAATAAAAAGATTATTGAAGTGAGAGATTGGTTACGAGAAAAATTATCGACATGGGTAATAGCATGAATGGGTCTCAGACATGAGTCTCTATCATTTCAGATACCTACAAAATTCAAGGAAAGGCGAAAGGAATCCATTATTATAGATAAAAGAAGAGTGGTTAATTCTGGGGGAAAGAATAGGAAGGAGGGCAAAGGAAGCGTTAGAGACTGCTGGAAATAATTCTATATCTTGACTCGGGTGGTGAATGCGGGAGTTCAGGTTAAAAAAAACAACCACCGAGATGTGCACTTTAAAGGCTTTACTGTACATTTTTCAAATCTCAATTTAAACGAATTTTTTAAAGGCATACAAGGGGATGTCAAAAAGGGTATTCATCAAAATTTAACAGTGGCTGCTTTAGGCCAATGGAGTTTTTCGATGATATTTTCCCTTTCCCTTTGTATGTATTTATGACTTTTTCCAGTGATTCATGTTTTGAAACTAAAAACAACCAAGAAATTATTCTGGTTTTTTTTTTTTTTTAAATCCACTCTCTGAAGCAACACCCATCAGATTGGTAAAAACCTGACATTTTAACACACTTTTGGGGTGAGGTGGTAAAGCAGTTGGATTTTCTCCTTTGTTTTATGTAGACGTTTTGTACTTTTGTGGTCACATTTCAGACTACGACTCGCTTTGAGTTAAATCGTTAAATTTTGTGTTCGGCTGTGATGTATATGCGGAGGCTCATTCTTTTGCATGTGGATGTACAATTGTTTCAACACTATTGTTGGACAGACTCTCCTTTATCCATGAAATTCCCTTTGCTCCTCTGTTAAGACTCGCTTAACTGTATCTGTATGGGCTCATTTCTGGTCTCTCCATTCTTTTATTGACCTGTATGTCTATTGTCTGGCCAAAACCACACTATGTTTATTACTGAAGTTTTATAGCAAATCTTGAAATCACGAGACGTTAGTCCAAAAGAATAGCCCACACTTTGGAAATGCGTCGCTAGTTTACGAAACCTGGGAAATTCTGTTGTTTCAGGTGCTTTCTGGGAGGGATATTGGCCAGTGTCCTCATGTGCCCATTGGCGATAACTACTGCCTGTAAGTAACAATCTCTCCAATTATTCCTCTGATCCCTGCCCTGTACTTGAGTCCAATTTTGGTCATTTTGAAGCGATTCTTAGATATTCTCTCTTTCTTATCCAAGATACTGTCACATCGTTGTTTCTCAGCCTTGCCGACTATTTCGAAGCCACCGCCTGTGCTCAGTAAGTGTTGACTGTGTTACCATCATCCTGACGAAGCTGACTGTAGCCGGCTACCTGAGACTGCTTTTGGCTGCCTAATGGATGGCAATGACCACGCACAGGAAGCGTCCCCGTCATCTGTCTCGAAGAATACTTTCTGTTAATGCTAAAATCTCATAGCGTTCTCATCCAGTCTCTTACATTTTTACCAGTTCTTCAAAATTGAGAAAATTAAGCTTCAAGGCACTAGGACTTAATAAATAACGTGAACCTAAAATGCGTAGGTCCCCTGTTAAAGTGTTTTTATAGGTTCATAGCGCTGCACTTTATAAATACCTATTAAGAGGCCTTTATCTTACAGTGCCCCAAATAGCTGGCAAACTGCCCACGAAATGGTCTCGCTTGCAAAGTGTGATGTCTCTGCCACCTCTCACTCACTTCACGATCCCCCTGCGTGCTGACTGCCCTGGCTCATCATATTTCAGAGTGTTGTTGGGGTCTGGGTGAGATGCTCACAGAATTTCAAACGGCCTGCAAAACCCCATCCCGTTGCAAGATGGATTGTGTTAATGACCCCCTCTTCTATATGGCTGCCAGAGGCCAGCTCCCATAGCTTAGAGACGGAGCTCTATAATTCAAATTAGCTCACCGGCCTTTGCTCTCGACGCTGTGCCGCCCTATTTATGAAATCACTGTGTTAATGCTGAAATCACAATGGGACTTGGTGAAGATTTATTTTGTTTAGGACTCCAGCCAGTATTGATTTCCTGACAGTCTGAGCGATGTTTCCCTTCCTTTCCTGGCATTCCAGGCTTCTGGGGACAGGCTTTGATATAGCTAAGATGTGGTCCACCTCGTGGTTAGAAAATTGGGTCCCGAGGTCACCCAAGAACTTCTTATTCTTTAGCGCTTGTCTATTAATAACATTTATTTAAAACTCCTCTGGGGCGCCTGGGTGGCGCAGTCGGTTAAGCGTCCGACTTCAACCAGGTCACGATCTCGCGGTCCGTGGGTTCGTGCCCCGCGTCAGGCTCTGGGCTGATGGCTCGGAGCCTGGAGCCTGTTTCCGATTCTGTGTCTCCCTCTCTCTCTCTGCCCCTCCTCCGTTCATGCTCTGTCTCTGTCCCAAAAATAAATAAACGTTGAAAAAAAAAATTAAAAAAAAAATAAATAAAATAAAACTCCTCTAAGACCCTCACTTCCTACCCTCTGGATGCGGGTTATTCTCCGTGTCTGCAGAACTTAGAAGTGTACCTCAGCCAGCGCTGAGGACAGATTGGCACTCATGTTCAGCTTTCTGGGCTGTGATGTCGCGCTGTTCAGGACCGGACCAACCAACGAGGTCTACACAAAAGACTTCCAGCCACAGAGCCACTTCGTAACTCAACGTCCAACTGTCACTGCTTGGCAGATGGTGTGCATTGTTTAAATCCCTTCCTTCTGGGTTTTAAGATGAATTTGTGCAATTAATTGAAAAGACCAGCCTCACCTTGTTAGGGACTGTAACGAGCGCAGAGTTTCTCAAAGCATGGCACGGGGACATCTGTTCTAGAACCAACTGGGGAGCGTCTATCCTGATCCCAGCTCTTCTGAATCCAATTCCTGAGGGATCTTCAGTTTTAACAACCTGTCTGGGTAATTCCTTGCACATCAACTGTGAGAACCCTGGAAAGATGGTTTGTAACTTCTTTACCCCTTGATTTCTAAAGTGGCATCACTTAGCCTTCCTAAATCTCTGCTGAGAACTTACGATACATTCTGCGCTGCGCTGAATGTCCAGTTCTGCTCAGCAGACATTGATGGAGTCTCTCCCAAGGGTCGCACACTTCCCCGAGGTGCCAAGGTTGTTGTGCCAAGGCCTCGGGATTTCTGAGTCTAAAGAGACACGTAAAGGGCAAGGTAAAGTCGCATTTAATAGGGTTAAGTGCAAGTACAGAGTTAGCACAGAGGCTAGGGGAACACCGGGACAGAAGTTCTGCCAGACTAGGAGGATGGGGGAAGCAGGCAGGGAAGGCCTCCTGGAATGCCAATCTCTGACCTGCAGGGGATAGCGTCACCTGTCGCTTTCAGGGCACCTCCCGCTGTCCTGAGCTCCTCATTTTGTTATCTCCTAAAAGAAATTAGACCAGGATCAGGATGATATTTCTCTCCTACACACTCTCATCCACAGCTTCAATAAGATCCCTCCTCCTTTGGTTATTTGTGTTCATACTTTAACTTGTTCTTCTCTTGTTCCCTCTCCATTTTTTTTTTTTTTTCTTATTTGCTGCCCCCTCCCCAGCCTCATGGACACACACTGTTGCATTTAAGACCCGTGAAAACAAGGACTGTTGACTTCATTTTTGTATCCATCTGAATGTCTTGAGAATAGCACATACACCAGGGGCGCCTGGGTGGCGCAGTCGGTTAAGCGTCCGACTTTGGGCTCAGGTCACGATCTCGCGGTCCGTGAGTTCGAGCCCCGCGTCGGGCTCTGTGCTGACAGCTCGGAGCCTGGAGCCTGCTTCGGATTCTGTGTCTCCTTCTGTCTCTTCCCCTCCCCCATGCACGCTCTCTCTCAAAAATAAATAAACGTAAAAAAAGAGAAGAATAGATACACCGTAAGTATTCATTAAATTGGATGGATTTGCTATACCATTTCTTAAAGTACTTCCTTTATAGCCAAAAGCTCCGTGTCTGTATCTTAAAGATTTTGCAACCCTTTCCCTCACACATAAACATATCCAGAAGCTAATAAGCCAAAGACATGGTTATTAATATCGAGAGTCAAGGATGACTCATGAGGCTCCTCCAACAATCAAGGATGAAAATCTAAGGGGTTGGAGGACAAGTACTTAATTCAGCTCGACACTCATGAGCGGAACAGCCGTCCCCTGCCTGTCTTGCAGCGTGCATAGTAGATTAGATTAGGGTCCTCTCCTTTCACACTTCATAGTTCTCAAACAAACCTTTCCCGTCCCGTAATGCGATTTTCATTCAGCCACCTTCTTTGTTAAATTTAAAGCCTGCGAGTTTGGGGACTGTCTGTATCGTTCACCAGTGGCCCAAGCGTCCCTTCCAAATGAAGGCCATCACAGTTGTCCCATGTTGCCAGTCGTGCGTTAGCATCAGCAGGGCGCATTCTGCACATTTATGACTTCAGAGGAACAAGATGGGTAACCTCTGTTCTCTCTGCCCTTACCTGTTGGAATGTGTGCTTACGTCACTGGCGAATGAATGAATAGACTATGGGGAAAACCCACTTGTTACCCTGTAAGGATTTCTGTTCTAGAGGAAGTGGTGCAGGTGGGAAAAGAAAATAATATAAAATGGTGGTTAAGTAAGCACCGAGCTGGGATAAATATGAAAGCTCCTCCAAGTTGAGGCTCTACTCTTCCTAATTATGATTACTCAAGCTAGTGTGTGTGCGTGTGCGTGTGCACAGTGATTTCAGCAGTTACCGCGTTTCCTGTCTATCTGGATGAATCATGTATTTCTTTCCTCTTTTCTCTGCTCCAGGTTTGCCAAAATTTGCCAACCACGTAGGACGGTCTCTGACGAATGACTTCAATCTGAATATCCAGAAATTGTCTGATTTGCAGTCTGCTTGGAATCAACTGCTTTATTGGAAGGGAGTGAGCAACTACATTATTGAGAAAAAGCCATTTTAATTTGGTTATGTGTCTTTTTTTTTTTTTTTTTAAATCTCATTTTTGCTTTCCTAAATTGTAATCTGCTCAGGAAGATAATATCAATTCGTCTTTACTTTGCCAACGCTAGCAGTTGAAAGGGAACTGGCTGGGAAATGTGATAGAGAACCAACCACGTGGGTAGATGGTCCCCTCTTATTCCCTGAGGCATTGTTTTCATACATGAATTTTCATCTAGAGAATTCCATGAGGCGCTTTTAACAATGCAAATTCCTGGGCCTGCCTACAAACCCCTATCCCTTGCTGAACTGTTCAATTAATACCAACTTGAAAGTAAATATGGGGCGCCTGGGTGGCTCAGTCATTTAGCATCCAACTTCAGCTCAGGTCATGATTTCACGGTTCATGAGTTCGAGCCCCGTGTCGGGCTCCGTGCTCACAACTCAGAGCCTGGAATCTGCTTTGGATTCTGTGTCTCCCTGCCTCTCTCCCTCTGCCCCTCCCCTGCTTACTCTCTCTCTTTTTTTCTCTTTCTCTCGAATAAATAAATAACAAAGTAAATAAATTGCACTTTGCACATAAAATACAGTGAAGAAAAAGTTCATTCTCCCCAGGGAGCAGCTTCATGGGAGTTGGTGACAGTAGATGAGGGTTCGTGGAAAATGGGCAGGAGAGAGCCTCTCTTTGGGAAAGCACCTTCTTCTTTTGAACCATTTCCTTGCCAAGATTGCAACCTTCTTGGGGTTCATGATCGCCTTTCACTCATGTGCTATTAAAAATAGAACAGAAGAAGATCTTTAAGGGTCAAAAAAAAAAAAAAAAAGGCAAAACACTTGAGCGCCTTGACATGCATAAACACGGTACAATTGTACAGCCAGCGAAAGAGTTGGACAAGACGCTCCCTGTCATTGCTCTCACATGGTGCCTGTTCTCGAAGTAAATGTGGCCTGCGATTCAGATTTGTTCTGCATGCTGTTCTCCAGCTAGGCAGTTCTTTTTTTCAAAAATTTTTTAATGTTTTATTATTTATTTTTGAGAGTGAGAGAGACAGGACACCAGTGGGGAAGGGACAGAGAGAGACAGAGGGAGACACAGAATCCAAAGCAGGCTCTAGGCTCTGAGCTGTCAGCACAGAGCCCGATGCGGGGCTCGAACTCACCAACCATGAGCTCATGACCTGAGCCAAAGTCGGACTCTTAAGCGACTGAGCCACCCAGGCGCCCCGAGAGCCTGCTGTTTTGATGCTCTGTCAGGAGAGCACACCTTGAGAATTGCTTATGTTGCCTGTCTTCTGTGTTGTGCACGGTTTTATAGAGGGTCACTACGTTTACATGATAATACCTTTCAAAGTTAGATGCAGCAATAAAAATGATTGTTTACAAGTATGTCAGACTTTATTGTGTCGGGGACGTTTCCTCCCCAATTATTTAAGCTTCCTATCACTGCAGTGACACGTTGCCGCAGAGTTGATGACCTAAGACAAAATAAGTGTATTATCTTACAGTTCTGAAGGTCCGATGGCCCCAAAATGAGTCTTAGGAGTGTCTCATCAAGACGTCAGTGGGCTGCGTTCCTTCTGGACTCTCCAGAGAAGACCCCATTTCCTCGCTCTTCCAGATTCTGGAAGCTGCCTCCATTCCTTGACCCTCGGGCCCTACCTCCTTCTTCAAAACACATCCCTCTGCTTCTGCTGTCACGCCCCCTTTTCCGACTTTTGACCCCTTGCCTCTTTCTGATGAGGATTTTTGTGATTATGTTGGGCCCGCTCAGGTAATCCAGGATAGTCTCTCCATTTTAAGATCCTTAACTTAATCCCGTCTGCAAAGCCCCTTTGCACAGATTCTGAGTGTGGTTTCTACTGAATGCCTATCGCTTCGGCAATGCAAAGTTGAAAAATCGTAAGAACCATTGTCGGTCAGCGACCATCTGTATATATATCCATAGATATCTAGATGCAGATCTGTGTAGCTCTACATCTGTCCATCCATCCATCCATCCATCCACCCATCATACATCCTGTTCTGTTTCTCTGGATAACCCCAACAAATTCAGCAGGAATAATAGCCACCATTTTACAGTAAGCTTAGAGAGCTTTGATAACCTTCCCAAGCACAAGGAGGGCACGTAGGGGGCCTAGGAGTCACGCCCAGGTCTGTGTGACCCCTCGGCCCTTGCCCTGCCCGTTACTGACTGCTGCTGGAAGCGTTACGGGTGAACGGCCTGGCACCCGGAAGGTTAAATATTGCCCTAGTCACTCTCTCCAGAAATGCTAACTCCGGAAAAAGTGTCCCGGGGGGCAAGAGGTTAAATGA